GAGGATTCTCTCTCTCTCATTCTCTCTCCCCTCCCATCCCTTCCCCCCTCCTCTCTCTCCCACCCCCCCCCCCTTTACATATTATAAACCTGGGAAGGACTCTTCTGTGTGTGTGTGTGTGTGTAGGGGGGGGTGGGGGGGGGGGTGTATGATGGGAACTTTTGGTTTCTCTGCCCTTCTCAACTGGTGGAGGGGAGAGAGCGAGAAAGTGGGTAGCGGGGAGAGACGCAGAGAAAAGAGAGTGAGAGCGAAGAGGGACAGAGATAAGCGGGAGAGTAAGGAAAAATCAGAGACGGAGAGAACAGACTGTGAGAGAGGGCAGGGAAAGCGAGACCCTGTTTTGATGCTCGAGTAGCGGCAGGGAGAAAGAGAGAGAGAGAGAGAGAGAGAGAGAGAGAGAGAGAGAGAGAGAGTGCGAGGCAAGCGAAAGCGTAGAGACACAAGCGTTCGTTAAAGATTGAGAAAACCTAGGTAAAACAGAGATCGTTGAGAACGCCGAGTAATCATTGGGAAACGCCACGGAAATGCTGACTGTCCTAAGGCCGACGATAATAGCTGGTTGCGAAAAATCTACTTCATTATTGGTGATGAAAGGTATGAGAAATTGATGATAAAAAACTGGATTTTCTACGTGTCAAAAATCCAGCTTTATTTTTATAATTTTCGAATAAGAATGTTCTAGTTATTTTCAGAATAGATTTACGACGAAAAGCTTGGGAAAATTATAATGAAATTGACAATTTGATTAGCAGGGCTTTGTTGGGTAACTTACGTCTGCTTCCCGAAGCTTTAATTGAACGTTAGAAAACGCTAGTTAATTAGAATCTTCTCTAGCGAAAAATGACATTTTTGGGTTCCCGGGGTTAAATTTTTTGGTATTGGATATCCAGGTTTTCAAACAACAAAAATGGCAATCAGGATAAGAAATCGTTAAAAATGAAAGTGTCGAAATTAAAGATCCCAATCTTCAGAAGAAATTATAGAAATTTCAATTCTTTTTGGCCCCAAAATCACGACTCACAATGTTAGCGGCCACAGCGTTAGGCAGGGCTGGAGATTGAAGTCAGGATTATTTTTTTTACTTCCTTACACTTGAGCTTCAGCTTTTCAAACTGCGCATGCAAATTCAAAAGCGAGGTGAAGAAAAAGGCGTATTGCCCGCGATGACTTCTGGCGAATTCTCGAAACGGAATGCACCCGGCTTTGGGAGTATTGTGTGCTTATCTCCGCCTCTTTGCGGCGTGGTCTGTGAGCCAAAAAAGCTCTGGTTTGGGCTCGAAAAATGGCGGCAATTTCTCATTTGTTCATTTCGATATATTTGTAAAGTATGCTGTAAATGGCCCCGTAACACAATAATCCACTCAATAACGGCTCGGATTCTCAAAAAATTTATTCAGTAACAATGATGCCCTTTCTCGGCACAAGCGGAGTCGGCATCATGCCCCGTCAGAAGTTCGTGAGACACCTCCACTAAATCTACGCAGAAGTATCGAATCGGAATGCTAGTGCTCCCAATCGAAAGCCCTTAAAACGGCAGCGGCAAAAACAACGGCAAAATCATGTTTTTATTTAAATGCTCTATTTTACAACGCATTTCAAAACCCTAAAGAACGGCGCCTGCACCTAATTAACCGCAACCTCCGGTCATTTTGTTTGAAGAAATTGAGGCAAAAATTCGCTCGTATGCAACATCGAAAACCGATCGAAATCGAAAACGAAACTGTATAACTAGCGTTCCGATCCGAACTTCTGCGTCGAGTTAGAGAGGGTGTTTCTTATTGGGACGCCCTGTAGTCGTCTAAATCGGACGCTGATGCGGCCCTCTAGAGGGGTGGTCAATTTTTTTGGGTATTTCGTGTTTTGAAATAATATTGGCTTTATTCAAAGGTTACAAAAACAATTTTCGTCTGATACAATGAAACCACTACTTTTAGAGTGGGTATTGGATTTAGTTGTATTTTAACTAGCTGTATTTCGAGGGTTTTGAAAACAATATTTATTTTATTCGAGGGTTACAACAAGGCTGATGACACGGTTACGCTGCTCAATTTTTTTAGCAAAACGGGCGTCCCTCGCAAGCGTCGTTGGCGCTGCTGCCCTTCAGAATATCGGCACAAACGTCAGTGTCCACCTAAATTTTTTTTCAGGTTGAAATTCGAGTGCCTTTCGAGCAGATATTATGTTGAAAAATGGTGTAAATCGGAATAAAACAGGTTTTTTAATAAAAGAAACATACCGCCGCTAACGCCTTTATGCACGGATAGCTCCAGACCCAATTCTCGCAAGCCTTCTTCGTACCGTCGTTGTAGAATTTCAGGCATTCACTTTGATTAGTCGGATGCTGATCAATAACTATCTATAATTTCGATTTTTCACTCAAAAAGGGAGAAAGAGCTGGTAAAACAGCATAAACTGGTATTGATTTTAATCTTGCAAACCTGCGCCAACGTTTTGCACTCCTTGCAGACGACGGCCAGGGAGACGGCGATGAAAGCGAAGAACACGAGAACGAGTTTCATTCTTTAGATTGGGAATCGAGCGAAACTTCGAAATAGTCAATTTTCACAGGCACATAGGGTGGTTTTGTCGATTCAACACCCCCCGCCATAACATGATCCTCCTCCCGCGTCTGAATTTCAATTGGCAATATGTATGATGATCGGAAGGAGGTGCGTCAATGTCGGAAAGGTATATCAAGTTAACTCTTCGCCAAAGAATTCGGATGCGTCAGTGTGCCAGATATAAACGAGCAGACGTTTATTAAAATTACACAAGAACGCCGTCGCCGTATGCTTTATTTAGGGCTCGTCAAGTTCAGCAGAAGAGGTTGCCCTCGCAGGAATCGTGGGCCGTCTTGTTGAGCATAATGTCGGTGCAGACGATGTTGTCAACCTGAATTTGTGAGGTCACCAGAGCCCCAGTCATCATGATTTTTGCATGGAAGTCAGTTTATAATTAGTGAGGTCGATTCTTTCTCTCTCTCTCTCTCTCTCTCTCTCTCTCTCTCTCTCTCTCTCTTTCTTTCTCTCTTTCTCTCCCTCTCTCTCTCTCGTTCTTTCTCTCTTTCTCTCCCTCTCTCTCACTCTCTCCCTCTCCCTCTCCCTCTCTCTCTCTCTCACTCTCTCTCCCTCTCTCTCTCTCTTTTCCCTCTCGCTCTCTTTTTCGCTATCTCTCTATCCCTCGCAGCTACCAAAAAGACTAACCGCCTTGAGAGCCTGGATGCACGGGAAGCTCCAAGGCCAGTCGCAAACGGCCGTGGTACCGTCGTTAAACCAATCACGGCATTCTGCGTGGCCGGCTGGGTGCCGGTCGATGATTTTCTATAAACGTATGCCTAGAATGCCTATCAGAATCTCGAAATCAGAATCTCGAATTTTCAGAGTCTCGAATTTTCAGAATCTCGTTTCATTTATGCCTATGCTGCATTCAGGGGGTAGGGGTGCAATTTCCGGAGCCTTTAATGCTGATTTAAACCATGGAAACTTCGATATTCTAAAAATGGGAGATTCTGGAAATTCGAGATTCTGAAAATTCAAGAGAACCGAGAATTCGTATTAACGTATTGACGTCCAAGCGGGGTCACCGTTTTTACGACCGTAGATGCTACCTGTGCCAGCTTCTTGCATTCCGAACAAACAATTACAGCCGTGGCCACCGAGGTCAGAGCGAGAAGCAGAAGAAGGAGTTTCATTTTTGCGAATGTGAAGAAGCCCAACGTCGAGGGGTTTATATTGGCACCTCGGAATTCGGGCGTCCGACCGCCGCCATAACAAATGACCGAAGGGCAGAAGTGGGGCTCATGAAGTTTCGACATTCCAAATTACTGTGGTGATGATCGTAGGGGAATTTAGCGATTCTGCAGCGATTGCCGTCGTTTTTTTTTTGTATCACACATTTTTTTGTTGTCATTTATAAGCGTTGTTCAAATTTACATCGCCATAGTCTTCGCCAGCTCAGTCAGTCAAATTCTAGCAGCCGCAGCTAAACATAAACAATTGGCACATCTAATCATCGCCATTGTTCGTATGAATCTAACCAAAAAATGTAAATAATTTCATGAGAATCAAAATCAAGGATAGAATCAACAAATATGCTCGAGGGGGAATTTCATAAGAATTCAAGGACTCTGATTCAACGAAAGACTCAACAATGGCTTTCAGCGGGCGACACGACAAATTTTCCAACTTGATTTTTTTTGATTTTTTAGGCACTTGAATGGCTTTTCAGATTTTAAAAAACGGGAGGAAGCAGGAAATAAAATGTTTATTTTGCTTTTCAGGTAGTTATGAATGTCCATAGCTTCCAAAAAAAACTGGATGAAGGGAGCATTATTTGCAATTTTCGAGAATAAACATTATCAATTCTATTCAAATCTTAATTTAATTATGAGGAATTCCAATGGGCCTAAAATAGTGCCTAAAACTAACTAACATCCTGGCGCCACCCGTCGGGCGAGGCTGGAAAGGGCGCCCTGTCCCCTTCCTCCCCTTGCTAGTTTGGCTTATTGGCTCGGGCATGGGGCTGCCACGCGCAGGACCCGGGTTCGACCCCCGCCCGTGCCACTGAACGATGATGATAAACACACAGACCTGTTCTGCAAACTTTATGATGATAAAATGAGCAGATATCCGAGTTCAGTTTTGCAAAATTAGCATTGGGATTTGGTTTTGGGGGACTGGAAGTTCTTTTCTTTAGCGAGTTCCCATTTTTCACCTTGCCTCACCCACCGATTAAATTTAATGCCGACAGAACTTTCCCCGGTTTCCAAACTATTAGTGTGTAATTATTTTGATTTTCCGCAATTTTTAAGCATAAAACCTTCTAGTTCTTTTGGTCTAAGCCAAAATATCGATTTTTCCACGAAATAGTTCGGTTTTTACCAAAATTACAAAATTTCGAAACTTTTTAACGTTCTTTCTTTTCGTGATAATTTAAACCTCAAATTATCGAAAAAGTTTTCAGAAATTTAGGATTTACAGATAAAATTTAAAATATGTACACGATATAGCACACAAAAGAATTTATTCAGCGACAACAAATGACAACGAAAGCAGTGTCCATCCTTGAATAGATGTCATTTTTGATGTTTATTCTCTGCATGTTGCGCTCGATTCTGTGGGTGCTCTGGCTCGTCTAGGCCATCGGGTTGAGCGTGTAGAGGAGGGAGAGGAAGAGCACGACGACGTGGCTGGAACTTGGAAAGTTCAGGAATTGGGAATAGAGCCTCTACCTGAATGGAAAGACCGACGAAGAAGCGTTGCCACCTGGAAATCGGGGAAATTGTTTCGAAAACCGAGCGTTCGAAAAAGCTAATTTTAAGGTCAAAACTTCGAAAAGTGAGAACTTCGTATTCGGAAAAATGGCAAAAAAGCGTAAATTGCGTTTCAAAAAAACTGAGCGCATTTTTACAAACGTCCCTTCACACATCCATTACTTAAAAAATCATGGCTTTGAACGGTGAAAACTTGGAAATCCATTAGCGCAAAAACCCTTACTTGAAAAAAATTACAAAAATCGAACAATTATTGCTTCGAAATACCATCTCCAAATTAATTCAAAATTTAATTCGGCAATTTTATTCTGTTTTCTGCTAAGCCTGGTAAAAAGACTGTAAAAATTAAGGCTTTTCGACATTACTACCAACAATCAACCCGACTTACCCAGTGCAACGCAGAGGACGTCGGTGTCGCTGATGAGCGGGTCCCGTCCGGTGGCGTAGGCGAATTCGTCGGCGGAACGACATCCGGGTGGGGCGTCAGGAAAGCCCTGGATGCGGTGGCAGGTCAACTCTCCCAGCGAGGGGCACCCTGAAATGTGGTGTAGACGAAGTTGTCACTAGCACTCACTCCCTCACTCACACTCGCTATCTCTCTCTATCTCTCTCTCAGACACCCTTTCTCTCTCCCCTACTTTCACTCTCACTTTCACTCTCTCTCTCTCTCTCTCTCTCTCTCTCTCTCTCTCCCGCTTCAAAACCACCTACTTCGACGGCAAATCCTCGGCCTCAGCTGGTCGAGGTCGGTGGTGGGCAGCTGCATGAACTCCCAGGCCGCGTAGCAACCCTCGTGGCGTTTCTCCGGACCGGTGACGTTACCTCCGGCCTCCTCATTCGACAGGGATTTTCCTGCAATAACAGTCCATTATTCAGAAAGATGCAAAAACAAGCTTTACCATTGGCATCCTTGGGTGTGTTGGGCACGGGGGTAGATTCGGCCATCAGCTTCAACTTGTCTAAACGACAGAATTTTGCAAAAAAATTCGCAAGATCACCTTCCAGCCATGGCTCCTCGACGAACTCGTGGCAGGGGACAGTGTTGGGCTCGCAATCTGGAAACAACCAGATTTACAAAAACGCAGGCATCGGTCTAGATCAAACCTAGGCTTAAGCTGCGGCTGGAGCTGAAGCTTAGGCTTAGTCCTAGGCTTAGGCCGACGTTTAGGCTTGGGCTTAGGATCGGGCTTAAATTAAGCTTTGGGGTAGGCTTAGGCGTAGGCTTATGCATAGCCTTAGGCTTAGGCTCATTGTTAGGCTTAGCCGCAGGTTCAGGCGAAGCTTGAGCTTGGGCTTAGGGTAGGCTTAGGCTTAGGCTCAAGCTCCGGGTGGGCACAGAGGTAAGCTAAGACCAGGGTTGGTCATGATGATCGAAAGTCCGTCCGCGTCCGTCCGCGGACGGACGCGTCCGGACCCGTATGCAAATTGCGGACGCGGACGGACGCGTCCGGACCCGGACGGACGCGTCCGGACGCGGACGCAGCGGACGCTACAGCGTCCGCCGGACGCCGGAAGGTCCGCGATGCAAATTGCAGATCACCATGTTAATTCAATAGACTGCGGCTTAGGAAGGCGCATCACCACAGACCTAATTTGAATATTCGTGTTGACTTGGATCATGACAAAAAATAATTCTCAGTTGTCCAAATAGTCACACAAAAGCAAGTCGGAAACGAAGAAACTAGTACTAAACCTCAAGAACAATGGAACATTGCACTAAAATCTCAAAGCTTTTCGTTTGCTCAAACTTTTTTGGCGCTTTCCCTTGGACAGTGACAGTAATTTTTGTGTTTTATTCTAAGTCAACGTCAAGGATGCAAGTCAGATTATATTCCTACGCTTTCCTAAACCAGGGACACCTGTAATTAGCATCCGCTTTTGTGCTTTGCATCGCGGACCTTCCGGCGTCCGGCGGACTCTGTAGCGTCCGTTGCGTCCGCGTCCGGACGCGTCCGTCCGCGTCCGGACCCGTCCGTCCGCGTCCGTAATTTGCATAGCGGACGCGTCCGTCCGCGTCCGGACGCGGACGGACGCGGACGGACGCGGACCCCCGATCATTGTGACCAACCCTGGCTAAGACTGAGGCTTAGGCTTAGTCCTCGGCTTAGACTTAGGCTTCGGATTACTCCTGCGCGCAACCTAACCAAGATTTATATGCTTCACGGCACTTACAGAGACAGAAATTCTCTTCATCCCTGCTTGAGAGATATTTGTCGATCTCGATTGAGCGGTTCGGGAAGAAGCGACGCCAATCGTCTTCGGTCAGTTGGTAGTCCCCTGCTTGCGTCAAACGCGCAATGCATGCTTTCGGGTCCCGATGGATGTCCCTGCCAGGCGGGCACCGTTTGTATTGCCGGGGCGGTCGAGACGCGAATCGGCAGTAGTCGGTCGGTTCTGAAACAAGGAGTTGGTTCGTTCAGGAATAAAATATCAGGTTGGTAGATAAATCTAGTCACAAATTTTTGAAATCGTTCTATAGGGCCCCAGACACGGACGATTTTAACATCCTACCTTATAATTTTGTCAATGGATGTCACTTTCGAGGCTCGATTTAAGGGCCTTACCCTGGATAAAATGCGCTAATTCTTAGTCACTAGGGGGAATCGAACCACCTCTTTTTGCGATGGTGTTTTCAGAATTTCGGTAAAATACAAGTCTACAAAGTTAAAGCCGGTTTTATTGATTTTTGGAGTAATTTGCATAATATGAAAAAAATACAAATCTCCTCATTCTTGCAACTTGCTCGCGCGTGTGTGGTCGGTGGGGGAACGGGGTCCGAAGGACCCGAGCTATCGGAAAGTCAAATTTTTCATGCAAAGGCCCAATTCCAGCGCCCAAGGCTCGCGAAGCGGATTTCCTCCCAGTCCCTCTCAAACCCATAAACTAATCAAGCTCAAGATTTTAAAACTTCAGTTTTATATTTAAAAACCGATTTTAGTAATTTGGTAGTAAAACCGACTTTTTGCACGATTTTGGACATAGTGAGCCAGGTCGCGCGCCTTTCGGAGGGAGAGGAGCGCCAGGGGGTAGCCCAAATTCAGCCGCTGGCAGCGGCAAAGCCGTTGTAAGCGGCTGGTACCAAAATGTTCGGCTTGCTCTGGCGAGCATTTTGGTATGTTTTACACATCTGTATTCAAACAGGAAGCCGAGATACAAAAGTTGGAGGCCGGCTGGGCATTACCTAGAGTTCAGCCAATTTAAGAAAACTGCCCGATTGTTTTCTCGTCTTTTCAAGGGTTTTCGAATGGTGTAGGAACCATCTCGATCCGAGTTTCCTCCGGACCGCTAGAGACGGGTGCTTTTTTGTACACCCTGTAGATATCCATAAATCTTGAGATCATCAAAATCGGCGAGCGAAATGTATGAGATCTCAACATCCCGGTAAATTAACCCCAAAAATGGGCTCATTTCGGCAAATGCTACTCGGACGCCTACCGTATACAGTTATGGTGACGCGGTTGGAGAGTGCGGACCAGGTTTTGAGCGCACGCCGTTTCCCGTCGGCATCTTCCAGCTCGACCCACGTCTCCCAACGGCACGTGAACGACGTCGAGTCACGCTGCAGAAGCGGGAAACGTCGCTTTTATAAGTAAAAAAGGTAGACTACAAAGCCGTTTCAGAAAGCGACGGAAAAATCCATAAGTTTCTTTGCGCATTATCGAACAGGGGAGGGGGAGAAATTTTTTGTTTTAATTCAGAAAACCTATACCCTAGCAGCTTAATAAAAAGTTTTTCATAAGGTTTTCAGTAAAATAACAGCATGTTTTAACAAGAACACTATCAAAAGCTTCAAAAAGGTCAAAATTTCGGTGAAAAACGGCCATTTTTGACAAAAACCGATTTTTTTTGTATTTTTTTAGCAAAAATTGGTAAACTTTTTAAGTTTAGAGGTAGTAAAAAACGGTTTAGCAACACTTCCGCTGCACATATTAAAACTGACAGTTCCTAAGACATATTAGAAAAAGACAATTTTTCCCCTCCCGATAAGGCGAAAAACCATTCAAAAGAATTACTTTTTGCTTGTTTTTTTTTGGTATGCCCTTTATATCGAAAAACTGTGCAAAATGCTATAATTCGTTAAAATTTAGGTGTAAAATTAGTTCCCCCCGCTAACCGTCCTGTGCCGAAGAGCGACCAACCACTCTCAAGGCGCTGAACGACAGCTGAATCAGTTCGTTGGGGTTGAACTTGACCCGATCGGTGGTGAGCGGCCTCCCGTCGGTACCCTAAACAACGAAAATCAGGTGAAGCCCATGAAGCCCCTACCAGGTATTCCGTTCTGACGCCGTCCCGGAAAAACACCGGGCGCACCAGGTCGCTGGCTGTGGTTCCGGGCAGCTGGCAACTGGAAACGCACGGTACACATAGGGCCATGGTGGGAGGGCACTCGTTTCACTGGTCGGCTTACATAGGGCAAAAAACTGGTAGAATCGATGTATAACCGGTTTAGCTTGTAAAATCGATAAAGTCTGACTAATTCGAATCGGCTAATTCCAATCCCGTCGAGAAATCGGGGAAAATTTTGCTAAGAAACCCAGAAATAAGCGAAAAACTGTATTTTCTCAAAAAACGATATATTGGCCCGTTATCCTGTGTTTTAGCTGTATAATGTTAATTCGCCATATATATTATTTATTTTAGAGTGTCTATATCACTTTACAATAGCTTAATGGTAGATTTGGGGCATATTTATATTTAGATTTTCTGACTGAAGGATAAAAGTTTTAGCTAAAGTCTAGTTTACCGCCCAGCCCTAACTTTTCAGCCATGCCTCCCATTAATGCGCCGAGTATCTCAAGATGTTGGCCGTGGTCGAATCACTGTAGCCAAGTTGTTTTCTTACATCAATAACTGTTAGAAAATTTTTTACAAGATTTTGAAAATTGAAAAGATTAAGCCGTTATGCTTCGATGTACCAGGAGCCTAAAACTCAAATATTTTTATTTCCGCTATTTTTTCGACTCAAATGCACTGTAGGCTGGTTCTCCAGAGTTGGAGCTACTCTGTACGTCAAAAGATAACCGAGATACGAAAACTCACTTTGGAACAGCAAAAATTACCTAAAGATAACCCAGACTTATAAGTGTTATAAGAATTTTTCTAAAAATTTGTGATTTAACGAAACAACTTGGCTATAGTAATTCGACCACGGCGAAAATTTTAAGATACTCGTCGCATTAACAGGCCGCATGGCTGAAAAGTTGCGGCTGGGGGCTGGGGGGTCAACTAGACTCTTACCAAAGTTGTTAACATTTTTGGTTATCGGAAACTACTAAAAACGTTATTAAAATAAACTACAATTAATCACTTGGCAAGCATAGGCTAAACAAAAAAAATTCCAGCCGCCCCCCGTTAACCTGGAAGCACCCAAGAATGTAAAGTAAGTTTGTTATTAAATAAAGAAAAATCGATCAACATCAAAGATTCTAAAATCGATTAATGTAAATGGTTTATATCCTACCTTATATAATTTTGGCGTGTAACTGTGTGTGTGTGTGTGGATGTCAGTTTCGAGGCCAGATTTGAGGGCCTTCGCGTGTCCAAAATGCCTCAATTCTTCGTCACTTCGGGGAATCGACCCTTCTGTTTCCGATGGCGTTCTCAGAATTTTGATAAAATACAAGTTTGCAAAGTTAAACCCGGTTTTATTCATTTTTGGGGTCCCTGAGGGCTAATTTGCATAATGTGAAAAAATACAAATTTCCTCATTCTTGCCAGTTGCACACGCGCGTGTGGTTGGTGGGGGTCCGCAGGACCCGAGCTATCGGAAAGTCAAATTTCTCATGCAGAGGCCGCAGTCCGGCGTCCAAAGCCCGCGAAGCGGGTTTTGGGCGCTGGTTTTTTTTATAAGACCGTACAGTATTACCGGAAAAAATGATACTCCAGAACCCACTTACCTAATAAAGAGCGGTTGGCCGGCAATGTAAAGACCGTCGCCGTCCGCCAGTTTTGTTTCGGTGCTCCCGTATGAAAAGATTCCTCCCTTGTGATTCCGCATGTCGAGCAACGCTGAAATTTGGCGTGACACGATAAGTGTATCCAGGTCGTCCCAAAAATCAAGTTTTTCTTTTCTTTTTACCAAAAAACAAATTCACAAATTTTTCCTACATTTGCTAAGTTTTTTGGGGAAAGACCACATTTTATTATTGATTTTCCCCATACAAAGGTCTTTTTGCAAAACTGAATTGTTCAGATTTTACGCCTTTACCGGCAGCCCGAGAGCAGCTTTTTGAAATACATTTGAGAAAAGACCACGTCGATGGGGCTGCCAGACGGCTACCCGAAAACCCACTCGTCTTGGCTTTCTGACAGAGGCCCCGCTCGTCGCCGATCGCGTTCACATCGTCCGGCAAGCATTGGAATTCGCGCAGCTGGAAAAGTTGTCATTCGCGTGCGCTTGCCTTGTATGCACAATTTGTTGCTGATTGAAAGACCCTTGAAAATTATCCATAATCAAAATTAGCAGCGGGAACTCCTTTTTGGTTTATGCCAAGAAAATTCCAAGATTTCTAAAACCCCGAAAAATTTGCTGTTTTGGGGCAATTTTTCATATATTTTTGACCGAAAACTCAAAAATCATTTTGATTGTTATCGGAAATCCCACCTTATATAATTTGGTCGCGTATGTGTGTGTGTGTGTGTGTGTGGATGTCACTTTCGAGGCCCGATTTGAGGGCCTTCCCGTGCATAAAATGCCCTAATTCTCCGTCACCCGGGGGAATCGACCCTTCTGTTTCCGATGGCGTTCTCAGAATTTCGATAAAATACAAGTTTACAAAGTTAAGGCCGGTTTTATTCATTTTTGGGGGTCCCTGAGGGCTAATTTGCATAATGCGAGAAAATACAAATTTCCTCATTCTTGCCAGTTGCACTCGCGCGTTTGGCTGCCTCATTGGAGCGGCCTCCGATTGGGAGGGTGACCAATGCGCGAAAGCATTTGCGCCTAACGACTTTTGCGCTCCTGCAATTGCGCCGAGACCATATGCGCGCACGACATTTGCGCCAACGACATTTGCGCGAAACGACATTTGCGCGCAACGACATTTGCGCGCAACGACAATTGCGCCTAACGGCAATTAGTAAGGTTTAAATTAGCAAAACAAATTTTTAAAAGCATAGAAACCTAGAAGAACACCCATTTTATGCGTTGGCATCACAAACAATTACAAACATTGTAACCATTACAAACAATTGTCGTTAGGCGCAATTGTCGTTGCGCGCAAATGTCGTTGCGCGTAAATGTCGTTGGCGCAAATGCTTGCGCGCATTGGTCACCCTCCCCTCCGATTGCCTTTGCTCCCCTTTCCCGGCAGTCACCTCGGGGCATACAAGGGGTGTTGCGCGCGCGCTCCCAAGCATTTCATGGTATAGTGGTTAGAGCGTCAGCCTGCCAATCTTGCTATCGGGGGTTCGATCCCCGGCTATCGTATTTTTTTTGCTTTATGCTCGGAATGCATGTTTCGAAGTGTATTTTCCTGTAGGGAGGCGCTATTCTGAAGTCAGTCGCTCTAAACTCCGTCGCAGGCTAAGGAATCCAGACAGGCACTGAAACTACCGCCGCAGGCTAAAGATTCAGGCTAATCCCTCAAGTTAGCGCCGCAGGCTTTAGAATGTACATAGCCGCACAAGCTAGCGCCGCAGGCTTTAGAACGAAGCTAGCCGCGCAAGCTAGCGCCGCAGGCTTTAGAACGAAGCTAGCCGCACAAGCTCGCGCCGCAGGTTTTGAACGAAGCTAGCCGCACAAGCTAGCGCCGCAGGCTTTAGAACGAAGCTAGCCGCACAAGCTAGCGCCGCAGGCTTTAGAACGAAGCTAGCCGCACAAGCTAGCGCCGCAGGCTTTAGAACGAAGCCAGCCGCACAAGCTAGCGCCGCAGGCTTTAGAACGAAGCTAGCCGCACAAGCTCGCGCCGCAGGTTTTGAACGAAGCTAGCCGCACAAGCTAGCGCCGCAGGCTTTAGAACGAAGCTAGCCGCACAAGCTAGCGCCGCAGGCTTTAGAACGAAGCCAGCCGCACAAGCTAGCGCCGCAGGCTTTAGAACGAAGCTAGCCGCACAAGCTAGCGCCGCAGGCTTTAGAACGAAGCTAGCCGCACAAGCTAGCGCCGCAGGCTTTAGAACGAAGCTAGCCGCACAAGCTAGCGCCGCAGGCTTTAGAACGAAGCCAGCCGCACAAGCTAGCGCCGCAGGCTTTAGAACGAAGCTAGCCGCACAAGCTAGCCCCGCGGGCTTTAGAACGAAGCTAGCCGCACAAGCTAGCGCCGCAGGCTTTAGAACGAAGCCAGCCGCACAAGCTAGCCCCGCGGGCTTTAGAACGAAGCTAGCCGCTCAAGCTAGCGCCGCAGGCTTTAGAACGAAGCTAGCCGCGCAAGCTAGCGCCGCAGGCTTTAGAACGAAGCTAGCCGCACAAGCTAGCGCCGCAGGCTTTAGAACGAAGCTAGCCGCACAAGCTAGCGCCGCAGGCTTTAGAACGAAGCTAGCCGCACAAGCTAGCGCCGCAGGCTTTAGAACGAAGCTAGCCGCGCAAGCTAGCGCCACAGGCTAAGGGATGAATCCAACCTTTGAAGCTAGCGTCGCAGGCTTAAAGAAGGAGGTAACCGTTCAAATTGCGCCGCAGGCTTAATCTTGAAGCAAACCGCTCAAGCTGGCGCCACAGGCCAAAAAAGGAGGCTAATCCCTCAAGCTTGCGTCGCATGCCAATACAAACGGTTTGCATCGAAGATGGGTTTTTCTTTCTTCAAGGTAATAGTATGTGGAAGGGCGCTCGATTAATAGGGCCTAGACGGGATCCAGCGGGGGAGAGTCGCGAAGCGGCGCCTCCCCCGCTGGTTTTTTGATAATTTTTGATGATGAATTGAATATGCCTCGATTGATCAGGAAAACCGCTCAAAATCGAGATTCCGACGTCACGGAATTCCACTTTTTGCGCGGGTAGTCAATTCCCGCGTCGCGATAGAATAAAACACAGTTGGGGCTACACGTTGACAATGCTCTGCTTCAAAAATAACCCCTAATAATACGTTAAATCACCCAAGAAGGCGATCTTAGAGGCTTGGCTGACCCTCGCGCAGCAGCGCATCGGTAACCTGATCATGAGCCTGGACAATCGATTTTTCCAAATAATCCCTTGTTCGGGTTGACCAATCGATTATTAATTCATTGATTGAATAAAATTTTAAGCTGTTTTTGGGCGCATTTGACCCGGTTTCTTTGGGTGGGCCAAAATTACGACCACTTGCCAGAATGGAATTTCGACTAAAAAATGGATTTTCGCAAAATGTCAAATTTTTTCCGGGATTTCCTTTAAGCCCTTGTTTTTCAATAGCGTGGTGCATAAAATCCTTGAAGCGTTCCCCGTTCATTAGTACCGGGCCGAGAAATTCACGAAAATTTGGGGTGGGCCAAAATTAAGTCCGGCAGTGTATCTGACAACTATGTAAAATACTATAAAATTGGCAGGAAATCGTTAGCGCCAGATTGTGATGCTTGTAAGATTTGAAGCTCAAAACTATACTTCGCCAACCACCCCGGGTGGTACCACCCCCAGGGGTGGTTGGAGGGTGGGGCTGGGGGTGGTTGTGGGGTGGTCGTGGGGGGTGGTTGGGGGGTGGTCAAAGGGGTGGCTGGGGGTGGTCAATGTATTAGCCACCCCACCCCACCCCTTACAAACGTTTTTCATGATCTGGCAATAAAACTTTTCGGGCTTTCGACTACATTGTCTTTGAAGGACCTTATCTGACTCGAACAAGCTTTTATGGCCAGATCATGAAAAAATTTTGTAAGGGGTGGGGTGGGGTGGCTAATGCATTGACCACCCCCCAGCCACCCCTTTGACCACCCCCCAACGCCAGATGGTGATGCCTGTAAGATTTGAAGCTCAAAGCCCCTGCCTCATCCCTGCCGCCATCGGGGTCCGGTTGGCTGTCGGTGCACCATGCGCCGCTCTGCACGCATCCACCGCTCAAGACTAAATCTAATCATTTTGATGACTTATCGCAAGGCAGTCATGTCAATGGCAAACTGCTCACCAGGGCTGCAACGGGGATGACCACTGGTTGGCCAGACGCCCATCAACGAATAGAAGGCGGCCGGCTCACACGTCGGGAAGCTCTCCGGCGTCCGCGCACATTTGACGTGCGTCTCAGGAGGACAGGCTGCAAGTGGGACAGATTTCATTTTCCAGAAACACTTCGCGGTACTGGACTTTTAGGGGGGATTTTAGCTGGAGGTAGAGGTGGAGAGACGATTTTTCTCAATGGGTCGTACGTGACCAGTGGTCACGTACGTGGTCACTGACCACCCGAAAATATTTAGTTTTCCACTCTGCTAAAATTTTGTTCAAATGTTGGATTTTTCGTCAATTTAAAATTTAGAGGTTCTTTAGGATTTCCGGGGAAGGATTTCCGGGGGAAGGATTTCCGGGGAGACCAATTTTTTTCGGCACAAGCCTAAATTTTTTTCTAACTAGCGCACGCGTTTCTAAATGGTTTTCAACTATTCCTGAGCATAAAAACTACACACATTTTAATTAAAAAATTTAATCTTAGGTCGGAAAATCCTATAGAACCTTTAGGATTAGCGGGGGGGGGGGGAAAGACCCAAAATGACTAAATTTTCGACTTTTTCAAGCATTTTCTAACTTTTTTGAAAGGTTTTTCTAGTTTAAATATCGTTAAAATTTACTAAAAACAATATCAAAACACTTTATATTTGATTACTAGGTCGACCGGGAAAACCAGGAAAAAAATTGGTTTCCCCCCGGAAATCCTAAAGAACCAATTTAGATTTTCGAGTCTACAAATTTACAATTTTTTTTGTATGTTTGTAGCAATCAAAAACGCTATAAAAAATTATCTTGGCAAAAAGCTATAGGTGGAACGACAAAAAAGGTTCCCCTCGCGACAACCCCCCCCCCGCTAACAGTCCAGAGCCAGGAGTGCAGCAAAGCATCTTCCGGCCAAACCCTCACCGGTTAGGCACATCCATGCGGCTTCCGCGTCGGCCGGCAGATATTCGCTGCGATTCTGGCAGGTTGGAACCTGGTCGAGGCGGCAATACGTTTGGGTCACCGGGTCGCAGGTACCTGAAAATAAAGATGGGGGAGTTGTAAGACAAACAATCGGCTCTTTCTGATGAAAATACTGCCTATTAAATTGCTACTAGCATTTCTATTATACTAAACACTTTTGGCCAGCTCCCCCCGATAATGCCTAAAAACTTATTTATTGTATCTTGTATTTACAACATTTTGTAAAGTTTTTGCGCTTAGGAACAGTAAAATAGGTTGGGAAGACTTTTACTCTTTATCTTCCAGTTAGAAAAATCGGATGCTTAGAAAAAAGGGTCCCCCAAAAATAAGTCGCAGCGTAGTTCAATGGATCCGAATAACAAATTGCAAAAACTTGCCCCAAACGTCGTCCAAGCACAGCGGATAATCCCTCAGAAACCGCGTCGGGTCGACTGCAATTCATCGAGCTATGTGGAACGGCACAACGAGGCCCTACTTCTGTAGTATTTCCGCGGCATGCAGGTGGGCATATCGCCCCGGTGGCACAGGACTTCGTCTGTGGAACAGATGAACTTTGCAGATTCTGCAAAAACGATCGATTGCAGGGTTGGATACCAGAGACCGGTTGGATCCTCCTTTCCAAGAGCTGGCGATAGAGATTTGAATCGTCGAAATTGAGGAGGAAGGAGCAAAACGAACCTGGTTTCTGCTTCTTGCAGAATTTGTACCGCTGCGCGTACTCCTTGACCATGGCGTCCTCGGTGATGAGCATGTATTCATTGTTACGGCGGCATGCGGGGCCTTCGGCTCGCACGACGTCGTTCCAGAAGTTGAAATCCGGGCTAAATACCGGTTTTAGGTTCTTTCGCGTTCATCAGTTATTATTCAGTTTATCAGGCGAGAGAGAGAGAGAGAGAGAGAGAGAGAGAGAGAAGGTACAGAGCGAATAAATTCTCGTAGTTGATACCCGGACCGCATCTCCTCGAAGTCGTCCGGCAACAGAATGCACTCGTGCTCGTCGGCGTGACACTCGACGTGGTCCCACTCGTGCAGTTGCCCGGCGAGGGCCCGGTGGCTGAGCATCAGCAACAGGAGCTCGAAGATCGAGACCGAGGTCAGCATCAGCTGATGTAACCCTGGAAACACGGAGATCTTTTGAATGCCACATTTGCATCTCAACCCCGCATAAAAGTTCAGAAACCCACCGTTCATTCTCAACTGGAGAAGCCGGCCTGGAAGGCGTCCGGTGGGAAATGATAATTTTTCCAGCCGAGAAAGAATTTCCAGGATATCGTCGTGCTTCCGGATTCATTATTGGATGGAAATTTATGGTAATTACACGGTCATTTACGCTTACGATGCTGCTGCCCCGTACGATACGCTTATGCTTAGCGTTAGGCTTCGGCTAAAACTTCGGCTTAAGCTTGTGAAAATTACATCAGTATGTCCATTTGAAGCCGATTTTCAGGTTGTTGATGTTAAGAATCGAAGCTTGTTAACTAATTTTTCACTCGGCGTCGTTGAAGAAATTCTGAACTCCGACGTCATCTGGCTTAATTTTTCAACAATTTAGGATCCTACTATATATAAAAAATAGTGTTTGTGTGTGTGTGTGTGTGTGTGTGACACTTTGCATGCAACTTCCGTCAGGGTGTCCGGAGGTTATCTCAAGAAGGGACGGGTATTAGGCTACGTATGATACGTCATTAGGTGCGTAATAGCCACGAGATGACTGCACGCATACCAGATTTTACAAAAACCGTAGTTTTCGACATTAAAATTACGTTTTTGTTGTAAAACCGGGAACCCTCTTTGGTAGGAAACAATTAGCATAGGCCGGAAGTTGAAAAGTCGCGAAGCGGCTTTTCAACCCTGGTTTACAGATCCTACTATATATAAAAAAATAGTGGCTGTGTGTGTGTGTGTGCATTTGAATGCAACTTCCGTCCGTATGTTCCAGTCGTATCTCAATAGGGGAGGAAGTTAAAGGTATGTATGATACGTCATTAGGTGCGTAATGGTCATGACATGACTGCGCACATATGAAATTTTTAAAAATCAGTTGTTTTCGATATTAAAATTAGGTTTTTGTGAAAACCTCGCTCGGCCTCTTTGTTAGGAAGCAATTTACATGCACCGGAAGTGGGGGAAGCCTATATAATGGGGAGAGGACGTGCGTTTCATTTTCCTGCAGAGGGATTCAGTGGCTTATGCAAAGTGATGGAACATGGGGTTAGAAGGGGCCAGGGTTGAAAAGTCGCGAAGCGGCTTTTCAACCCTGGTAAAATTTAAAAAATGTACACGATATAGCTCACAAACGAATTTATTCAGCGACAACAAATGACAACGAAAGCAGTGTCCATCCTTTAATAGATGCCATTTTGATGTTTATTCTCTGCATGTTGCGCTCGATTCTGTGGATGCTCTGGCTCGTCTAGGCCATCGGGTTGAGCGTGTAGAGGAGGAAGAGGATGAGCACGACGACGTGACTGGAATTTGGGAAGTTCGAAATCTGGGATCGACAATTCTACCTCAATGGAAAGACCGCCGAAGAAGCGTTGCCACCTGGAAATTGGCGGAGTTAGTTGGAAAACCGATAGTTCTTCGAAAGTCTAAACTTTAAAAATCAAAGATGCAAAAAGTCGACTTCCAAATGTCGCTACTTCGTAAATCGCAGCTTAAAAATTTAGTCCACGGAAAACCGCGACTTCGTCGTCAAAACTTAGGCAATCGTAGCTTAAAAAGCAGGTCAAAAAGTCAGAGCTTTGAAAAAACGCAAATTTGATATTTCGTGGTTTACAAGTGCCCTTCGCACATCCCTTATTCGGATCAACAGTAGAAAGAAAAGTTTCACAAAAATGATCAAAAACATTCCAAAAATTGAAACAATTTTCAAAACTTGTTTGTAGAATTTTCACTAAAAAAATGTCGTTACAATTCCAAGTAATAATTTTTCTCATTAATGCAACGAAGGCTTTTTGACATTGATACCGACAATCAACCCGACTTACCCAGTGCAACGCAGAGGACGTCGGTGTCGCTGATGAGCGGGTCCCGTCCGGTGGCGTAGGCGAATTCGTCGGCGGAACGACATCCGGGTGGGGCGTCAGGAAAGCCCTGGATGCGGTGGCAGGTCAACTCTCCCAGCGAGGGGCACCCTAAAATGTGGGGTAGACCCAGGGGATTGGAGTCCTGAAGTTGGCACTAGCACTCACTACCTCATTCACACTCGCTATCTCTCTCTCTCTCTCTCTCTCTCTCTCTCTCTCTCTATCTGTCTCTTGCGACTACCGCTACAAAACCACCTACTTCGACGGCAAATCCTCGGCCTCAGCTGGTCGAGGTCGGTGGTGGGCAGCTGCATGAACTCCCAGGCCGCGTAGCAACCCTCGTGGCGTTTCTCCGGACCGGTGACGTTACCTCCGGCCTCCTCATTCGACAGGGATTTTCCTGCAATAACAGTCCATTATTCAGAAATATGCAAAAACCAGCTTTACCATTGGCATCCTTGGGTGTGTTGGGCAAGGGGGTAGATTCGGCCATCAGCTTCAGCTTGTCTAAACGAAAAAAAATTCAAACAAATCCAGGAAAATCACCTTCCAGCCAGGGTTCCTCGATGAACTCATGGCAGGGAACGGTGTTGGGCTCGCAATCTGGAAACAACCAGATTTACAAAAACGCTGGCTTAAGTTTTGATGAAACTTAGGCTTAAGCTGCGGCTCAGGCTTGGGTTTGGGCTTCGTTTTAGGCGTAGGCCTCGGCTTATGCAAAGGCTTAGGCTTGGTCTCATTGTTAGGCCTAGGCTTAGGTTCAGGCAAGCTTAAGCTTAGGCATGCTTGGTCCCAGGCCTAAGCTTGAGCTTGCGCTTAGGGTAGGCTTAAGCTTAGGCCTGGTCTTGGGGTAGGTTCAGGGATAGGCTGAGACTTAGGCTTAGGCTTAACCTAACCATGATTTTTTAGGCTTCGGGGCACTTACAGCGACAGAAATTCGCTTCACCCAGTTCTGCAAAGTATTTGTCGATCTTGATTGAGCGGTTCGGGAGGAAGCGACGCCAAGCGTCGTCTCCGGTCAGTGGGTAGTGGCGGTCTTTTTGCGCAAGCGGGATGCATGCTTTCGGGTCCCGATGGATGTCCCTGCCAGGCGGGCACCGTTCGTATTGCGGCTTCATTCGAGGCGCGAATTGGCAGTAGTCGGTCGGGTCTGAAACAAGGAGTTCGTTCAAGAATTCTGGGGGGTTATCAGGAGTTCAGCCAGACTGAGTTTTTATGCTAGCATTTAGTCAAGGGACAAGCGCAGGTTTTTGCATATTTTTTGCTTTCCACCCAGCAACTGTTTTCTACTCTTGTGCATTCAAAAATATCGAACGCCTACCGTATACTTTGATGGTGATGCGGTTGGAGAGTGCGGACCAGGTTTTGAGCACGCGCCGTTTCCCTTCGGCATCATCCAGCTCGGCCCACGTCTCCCAACGGCACGTGAACGTCGTCGAGTCACGCTGTAAAAACGCAGAAGTCGCTTTTATCAGTTAAAAAAATGCCCGATTACAAAGCTGTTTCAGTAAGCGGCTGAAAAGTCCAAAAGATTCTTTCGCATTAGGAGGGGAGAAGAAATTTTTTCGAAATTCAAAAACGGCAAGTTTTGGTCTATTAATCGGTAACTTCTGCATTTTTTAATAAAGTTATATTTAAAAGGCTATAAAATGGCTTAAATTTGGGTGTAGTTTGTGTCCGAACCGGATCATTGGGTAAAATTAGCCCCACCCCCCCCGCTAATAGTCCATTACCAAAGGGCGACCAACCACTCTCAAGGCGCTGAACGACAGCTGAATCAGTTCGTTGGGGTCGAACTTGACCCGATCGGTGGTGAGCGGCCTCCCGTCGGTACCCTAAACAACGAAAATCAGGTGAAGCCCATGAAGCCCCTACCAGGTATTCCGTTCTGACGCCGTCCCGGAAAAACACCGGGCGCACCAGGTCGCTGGCTGTGGTTCCGGGCAGCTGGCAACTGAAAACGCTCGGTACCCATAGGGTCACGGTGGGAGGGATAAAATAACTTGGGGGGGGGGGCACCTTTCCTAATATGTATCAAAACTAGTGTCGATGCGTGTGCATTTGCAAGCAACTTCCGTGGGGTTGTCGCACACCTAGGTTTTCTATAATCTCGTGCGACTCGACTAATTTAAAATTTACCGTTTTCCTAGACTTTTACGCCGTTGCAGGTGGTTCTGGACTGTTAGCGGGGGAAGAAACATTCGGAACCGGGAAGCACCAAAAAATGTTTGAGTAAGTTTTTTATTAAATAAAGAAAAATTGATCAAAACCAAAGAATATAAAATCGAAAAATGTAAATGGCTGGTATTGGGTTACAAGACCGTACAGTATTACCGGGAAAAATTACTTTCTCCTGCTTACCCCCCTGCTGATAGTCCAGAACCGACTTACCTAATATAAAGCGGTTGGCCGGCAATGTAAACTGCGTTGTCGTCCAAAGGCTTTGTCTCGGTGCTCTCATATGTCCTGACCGCTCCTTTGTGATTCGTCATGGAGAGAAACGCTTAAATTTAGCGTGAGTGACGCAATAAGTGTATACAGGCGGTCCCAAAAAATCTACTTTTTCTTCTCTTTTTTTACCAAAAAATAAATTCTCAAATTTTTCATACCGTTGCTAAGATTTTTGGGCAATCACCGAATTTTTATTGCTTAGTTAATTAAAATTAAATTCTATTAAATTAATTAAACATTATTAAATATAATTAAAAAAATTACAAACAAAGCGGCTTAAAACTGAATTTTTCAAATTGTTGCGACCTGACTGGCAGCCCGGAGAGCAACTTTTTGAGCAAAAATTTGCGTAAAAGGTTATGAAAATCGAGTGCAAAATTCGGAAATTTGGAAAATCGAATCGAAAAGACAAAAGATCTCCTCATCTCCACGAGATCTTCCGATTGATACGTAAATCGTAAAAATCGGACACGACCAGGGACCGCGAGCGGGGTCTTTTTTGGGACACCCTCTCGAAGTTCGAGGCAAATAAATCGGAATGTCGGCTGCCAGACGGCTACCCGAAAACCGACTCGTCTTGGCTTTCTGACAGAGGCCCCGCTCGTCGCCGATCGCGTTCACATCGTCCGGCAGGCATTGGAATTCGCGCAGCTGGAAAAGATGCATTTCGCCTGCCCTTGCGTTGTATGCAGAATTTGTTGCTGTGTGAAACACCCTTGCAAATTATCCATAATCAATATGAGCAGCGGGAGCTCCATTTTGGTAAATTTTATTTTATGCCAGAAAATTCAAAAAGTTCTAAACCCGCAAAAATTTGACGTTTTGGGGCAATTTTTCGCATATTTTTGACCGAACTCAAAAATTTTTTTTGATTGTTTTCGGAAATTTTTTGATAATTTTTGATCAGCTTTTCATATCTGATAACTATGTAAAATACTATAAAATTGGCAGGAAATTGTAAGCGCCAGATTGTGATGCTTGCAAGATTTGAAGCTCAAAACCCCTGCCTCATCCCTGCCGCCATCGGGGTCCGGTTGGCTGTCGGTGCACCATGCGCCGCTCTGCACGCATCCACCGCTCAATACTAAATCTAATCATTTTGATGACGTATCGCAAGGCAGTTATTTCAATGGCAAACTGCTCACCAGGGCTGCAACGGGGATGACCACTGGCTGGCCAGACGCCCATCAACGAATAGACGGTGGCCGGCTCGCAGGTGGGGAAACTCTCCGACGTCCGCGCACATTTGACATGAGTGGTGGGACAGGCTGAATGTCAACAAATTAGGTATTTTAAGACTAGTTTAAATTTTTTCGCATTTTTCGAATTCAAATTTTGATGCTTTAAGTAAAGATAACCCTTACTAAAAACAATCTAAAACACTTTATATTTGGCTACTAGGCCGGCCGGGATCACCGGGGCGAAGGTGAAGGAGAAAACCGTGCTTTTCGTACGTAAATATTCAAGACTTCGAAATTTTTCAAGTATCTTTGGTATTTTTTTTGCAAAAAGTATTTCTGCAAAGTTTTCTAAGTAAAAGTGAGTTTTTCTATACTTACCCTACTCATCTTTGTCGGTATGTTTCTCGACTGGCAAAAAAGACGGTGAAGACAGCCCAGGATTTTTTAAGCTTTTTAAGCCAGGCGCCAAAAGTTTAAGAAGTTCAAAGAAGTTACGAAGTTCAAAAAAAGAATTTTTTAACTTTCAAGCATTGTAAAAATTGTAAAAAAAAACAGAAAAAAATCATAGGTTATCAATAGGTAGTTAGGTATAGGCGAATACAGTGTGTGTAAAAAGATAGGGACACCTTCTTTTTTGCGATTATCTCGACCCTGATCGATTTAGAGCAGAAGTCAAATAGTGGGTCTTGTAGAGCTTGAAACGGCGCATTTTTTCATGTATTTGAAATATCGCTAAAATAAATAACGCCATTTTTATAAGCGAGAGAAGAAAACAGGGCAAAAAAACAGAAGTGTCAAAAAAGATAGGGACACATCTTTACATACAATTACCATCAACTTCGCGCTTGCAAATTACATGCTAATTGGTGATACGAAGTTTTTGGCAATGCAGATTCACGATTACTCCGAAAACCCGGAAGTCAGAAATAGCGATGACTTTGGAATCCCCATTAGCATGTAATTTGCAAGCGCGAAGTTGATGGTAATTATATGTAAAGTGTGTCCCTATCTTTTTGACACTTCTGTTTTTTGCCCTGTTTTCTTCTCTCGCTTATAAATGGCGTTATTTATTTTAGCGATATTTCAAATACATGAAAAATGCGCCGTTTCAAGCTCTACAAGACCCACTATTTGACTTCTGCTCTAAATCGATAAGGGTTGAGATAATCGCAAAAAAGAAGGTGTCCCTATCTTTTGACACACACTGTAAACTCAAAATGGTACCCCTCCTCTGCTAAAAATTGCCCCCCATCCGCTAGCTGGTCGGAACCGGAACGTGCTTTCGGTGTAACAACAAAGCAAGTGGTAAAAAGGATAAATTAGACACAGGAGAAAAAACCTCACTGGAGAAGCACTCGAAGTCGCTGGTCGCGTCCGTTGGTAGGTACTCGCTTCGATTCTGGCAGGTTGGAACGTTGTCGATGCGGCAGTACACTTGAGTCGCCGGATCGCAGGTGTCTGTAAAGAGTACAAGGTAGTACTACACCGTTAAGAGGAATCTTTAATAGAGAGCAAATCAAATTTTTTACATGTCAAGATTTTGCAAGGTTTTTATAACTTTCTAGCAATCAAATTGATTATTTTCAACGGCTTAATCCAGGCCTCACTCAAAAGAAACAGCGAAAATAAGTCCCTCCTCACCCCGATAAGGCAAAAGATCCAAACCAAAACTCACCCCGCACATCATCCAAGCACAGCGGGACGTCCCCCTCAGTTCGAGTCGGGTCAACTGTAAAACGAAATGGCATGGAATGGTCGGTGCTGTACTGTTAGCGGTGGGGGGCATGCGGCATAGCAAAATGTGATTTGGTCATGATTTATTGCAAAAGCCCTACTCCTGTAATATTTCCGCGGCATACAAGCGCCGCCCTCTCCGGAGTTGCAGTAGATGTCTTCAGGGTTGCGGCATATTTGTTTAGCCCAAAGTCCTAAAAATACGCATAAGATAAAAATACATCTGAAGATGCCGACCCTGACTATGCTTTCGGCAGAACTTGTACCGCCCCGAGTACTCTTGGGCCCAGGTTGACTGGGTCACAAGCATGTACTCGTTGTGCGAGCGGCACGCGGGCCCTTCGGCGCGCACCACGTCCTTCCACAGGTCGAAATTCGGGCTGAAGATGGGGTTGGAAACCGGCAAGGTGGCGGCAGAGTCGGGGATAACGCAGGTTGGGGCTTTTTGATCGAGTGAAAGCGAGGGAGAGAGCGAGCGAGAGAGAGAGTGAGAGAGAGAGCGCGCGAGGAAAACACGGAGCTTGGCTTAGCTTTCTAAGCTTATACCGGGCTTCCATCTCGTCGAAGTCGTCCGGCAACAGAATGCACTCGTGCTCGTCGGCGTGACACTCAACGTGGTTCCACTCGCGCAGTTGCCCGGCGAGGGCCCGGTGGCTGTGCCTCAGTAGCAGGAGCAGGAGCATCGAGACCGAGGCCGACATCAGCTGATGTAAGCCTAAAATGAGCATGCATTTTGAATCTCAAATTTGCATCCGAAACCCAAATAAAAGTTCAGAAACCAACCGTTCATTCTCAGCTGGGGAAGCCGGGCTGGAGGGCGTCCAGTGAGAAATGATAATTTGTCCAGCAGAAAAGGAATTTCCAGGATTTTGTCGGCTTCCGGATTCAATTCTGGACCCTGAAATGATGCTGGAAATTTATGGTAATTACACGTTCATTTACGCACGAGCAGGTTTAGGGTTAGGCTTACTTGTTAGGCCTAGATTAGGGTTAGGCTCCCGTTTATACTTAAGCTTACGCCAGGGCTTAGGCTTAGGCTTAGGCTTAGGCTTAGGCTTAGGCTTAGGCTTAGGCTCAGGCTTAGGCTTAGGCATAGGCTTAGGCTTTGGCTTAGTCTTAGGCTTAGGTTAGGCTTAGGCTTAGACTTAGGCTTAAACTTCAGCTCAAGCTTTGTAAAAATTACACCGGTATGTCGATCTGAACTCGTTTTTCAGGTTGTTGCTGATCAGAATCGAAGCTTAGCTAATTTTTCACTCGGCGACGTTGAAGACATTCAGAATTCCGGCGTCATCTGTTTTCCTGGCTTGCCTTCATTGTCCCCTGTTCAGCTACAACCATAAGTAGACGGTAAACAGCCCCTTCCGTGTTTATAATTGGGTTCAACGCCACTCAAAAAGTTATGAATATCAAGGCATGTATTTTTTCCAGCGTACTGCCCAAACCTCCTATCATTATATTCCACCGCGTATCCGGTTTCGGGCCGCACAACTTTTTGCTCAATACCCCCGGGCGAAATGGGAGATGCTCGTCTGCGCCTCAGTGTTGCCGCGTGAATTATGTACGCGCGTATACAATGGACGATATGCGGCGCAGCCGGGGAGATGGTGATGGGTTAAAGCCGCCTCCTTGACAAATTGTGCCACCACCGGCACCACCACAACATGCTTTGCATATTTCTTGCACTTTTTAGAAGGTCGAAAACAATTTTTGAGGTGAGTAGACGATCGAGCAAGTGGTGTTTTACCGTACCTTGCCTCGGCTTCATTGGGGTCAGGGCTGAACGCGTTGCTGTCGCGTTGCGTTCATCTAGTGTCATATTTGGAGTTCATTCGCACCATAAAGAGCCCTGCGAGAAAAATTATGTTTGAGAGGCTTGGAGAAGCTATTTGAAAACTGCGAAATTTTGACAAGTTTCGCGAGGAATGCTGATCTTAAGCATTTCATGACTGTTTCCAGAGAAAAACGGCAAAAGCGGATTACTTCCCGAACAAGTGTACACATACGGGGATACACGGACAGACCGATGACACACACTAACACACTCGGCATGGATGCACTCACTTTTATGCCCGGGCCCCTCGTAATGTCTTTTGTCTACGGCCGGCACCTTCAAGGGGAAGCTGCACCCCCATAAATCTGTACGAGTCGTTTGTGGCCAAACGATCTTGGTGAGGGTAGATTAAGACGAGACCTGTCCAGACCATTGTCCTAATTATTTAGGCATCCTCCTTTTTTCGCGCTTTCTTAGCCATCCTGTGTCCTTTACAAATCTATTTTTAGGTAGATCTTTTTGGAAAATAACATAAACCCTTTATCAATTTATATTTATTCATTTAACTAGTTAAATAGATTAAAATCATCTTTTTTTTCTACAAAATTTTTAGTAGATCCAAAGAATGCTCGGTTTTTTGCTTTTTTCCTGCCTATAATCCATCGCACCAAAAAAGTGATTCCAGTAATCCCCCCATTAATTTTTCTCCACTTTTTCACCTCCATTTTTTGGCCCCAAATTTGGGTCGGATTTCCGGTGGTCTAGAGGATACAATGGAGTCAAGGCGATCCTCGCTTGTAGATGATCTACGAGTCCGGGTATACAATGAACTAAACGTCCCTCGTTTTTCATAATGGCTTGAAAAGGGGGGACTCCGTCTCTACAAAAGCCCTTTGTTCCATATTTTCCACTCCACCGTCGTTTTTAGTTCTCTCTCTCTCTCTCTCTCTCTCTCTCTCTCTCTCTCTCTCTCTTTCTCTCTTTCTCTCTCTTTCTCTCTCTTTCTCTCTCTCTCTCTCTCTCTCTCTCTCTCTCTCTCTCTCTCTCTCTCTCTCTCTCTCTCTCTCTCTCTCTTTCACTCTCTCTCTCTTGCTCTCTCTTTCTCTCTCTTGCTCTCTCTCTGCTCTCTCTCCCTCTCTCTCCCTCCTGATTCCCGAAACCGTTGTCATTTCGGAAAACATGCACTTGCCCTCGTTTTACACCCTTTTTCTGTATGCGTCAAATTCTTGAAAAATTTTCCACTTCGTTACGTGGCTACGGTAATTTTCGGGAATCGAATAGGATGAATGGGTTTGCCTGGTTTGCCTGGTTTGCCTAGGTTTCCGATTTAAAGCCGACAAGGCGTAAAATTACCCATGGATTCATGGTGTGTGAAAGTACACTGGACGGCTTGGATTTGTCGGAAGTCATTTCGGGGGGTGATAATGACGAATTTTTGAGGTTTAGAGTGACTGGGAAGCTGGTAAAATTGCAGGAAGTTATCAACTCGTTGAGACAAAAAAATAATGTGCGTGAAACCCCTTTTTGGATTTTCAGGGTCTCGGTAATGTTCTCAAATCCCTTAAAATTAATGTAGAAAAGAACCTTAATGTATATTTAATACCTTTCAAAGAGTTTGAGACGTCCAAGACGCCTTTTACAGGAACAGATAAGTCAATATCTACAATTATTAATGACTTTCGCGGCCCGGCAATACATTTTAAAGGCGCTAGTAAGCCGAGAAATATCACCATACCCTCCGGGAGCATGTCATTAATGCGTCAAGCACGTTCTATAAATTGTTATGAGATCAATATTCGTTTTTTCGAGTTGCGAAAAGATTTTGGCGATTTTTTTGAACATTTTTGGGTATGTCTTTGATCAGCAACAAAACCCCGATAAGTGGAAATTCGCGCTTCTTTTCGCTCTTCAAAATCTGTTTTTCCGGGGAGTAAAAGTTATTTTGTCCATACTGGAGCGACTAAAAGCGACTAAAAGAGCCCGAAAAGGACTAAAAGTATATGTTATGCGGAAGTTGCCCGATACCCAGACAGTCCGCCTCAATTCAAATAGAGTGGGACTCGTTTTTATGGCCTTGGAAATTTCGGATTTATGGCCCAGGCACGGCGGGTTTTTTGGGGAGTTTTTGGTCGGAATTGAAGTATTTTTGAGAGTTCTGTAGTTAGAAATTTGTAGATTACAAAATAACACTTTTTTCAATTTTTACGTATTTCTGGTGTTAGGCCGAAGCCGAAGCCTGCACTTAACCCCAAACCTAAGCCGAAGCCCAAGCCGAAGCCTAAACCATCGCCTAAGCTAAAGCCCAAGTCCAAGCGTAAGCCATCGCCTTCCCAGTCCAAGCCTCAGCCGAAGCGTAAGCCGTGCGAGCGTCGAAAAATGTCGTATTCGCGACGATTTTCTTCACATCCGGTTTTCCCTGATCACCCAATAACATATGATAAAATGGCCCTCATTTGCCTCCCTTCAAAAAAGTACAACAATTCTCAGACATCGACGATGGTTTTCTTGGTTCTTTTTCGTGAAGTTCTTTCAGACCTAGAACTGTTACCTTCTTTTCTTCAGGCAATTTCCGTACCTTCAAAGCCCCAGATCCACACAAAAATTAACCCGCCACTTGAATTGGTCGAATCAGTGTCAAGAGTTGTTATTTGGATCGGCCGACCAGCCGGATGGCCCCCGAAACTCAATTTCCTGTCCCTTCACCCCAAAAAGGATAACAGCGAAATAACAGATTTCCGGATTTCCATCCCGGTTCTGCAACCCGGGCCCCGGTGGATTCCGGGAATCTGAAACTTGGCCAAGTGATTCATTTTTGAAGATTTTGATCTCTTGAAACTTTGGCTGGATTTTTGACCGCTGTAGCAAGATACCGTATACCGATACCGTAAACTTGGGAAAACCGGAAACGTTTTTTTACGTTTTCTTGGGTTACGGTAACGAGGGGCGCGCGGGGAAATATACCTTGCAGTTTTACAACCTTTCACATATACAAAAAATCTCGATTTAGGAAAAATGCATGGGCTTTTTACATTCCCAAATTCACCCAAACTACGTGCCAGAATGAGCATAGAGTCCCCTAAAAACAATGCTTGTTTTTCGTTTTTCTATTAACCGGCCGGTCATCAGGGGCTCTTGAGCATCACCATGGGGGGGCGATTGTCTGTAAACTAGCCCCCAGGGAATTCGACCCCCTCCCCGCCTGAAGTGGCTCATTACGAAATTGTACACACGCAAAAATAGGAGTAGACTTATTTTGGGGATTTATTTTTGCAGATTTCTTTTGAGAACCCCATCGCTTTAAAACGATCCTTTCGAAATCATTAAAGTAAATTTTTATGCTTCGAAAATCACAGAGGTATCGATTACTCCCTAAATTTTGTTAGGAACTGCGTCTACAACCACTAAAAACGATGTAAAACAAACTAGAATCTGGGGAAATCCGTCCAAAACGGTGAACCACTTCTCCACGTGGCCCCGCTAAACCGATTACGCCATGAAAAGCGCCGCCTTCGGAGCTTCTTTTGGAGCACCTAGCAAAAAGTATCAAACCACTGGGCCGTTCCGCGTTACATCCTTGAACGCTGATTTTTTCCATTTTTCAGGAATTCCAAATTTATTTAATGCTTGGGCTTGGGCTTGGGTTTGACTTAGGCTTACAAGGGAACCACCCGAGGTCGAGGTGGCGTTTCGTTATGGGACCTAGCCCATTTTGTGCAGAATTTTTCGCTGATTCCGAATCCGCTGCTCATTTTTGCCAAATAGCTCGTTTTAAAAAGTTACGGCGATTTTAAGATCATATTTGAGCCCGCGGGAGGTCATCTGTCACGATGCCTAACTTTTTTGTTGTAATATGCCAATCGATTTTAAATAGCTTATCTTGTAGAGAATTTTTTTCTGATTCGAATGGTATATTTGATTAATGCGCTACTACCTATCGACGATCACTTATAGGGTTGAGAAATAGCCTGTTTTTCACCATGTCCCATACAAAAAACGAAGTCCATATCGTCGATTTTTTC